AAAAAAAAAAAAAGCACATTGTTATGTCATAATACTTTAGAAATGTGAAACATTAAGAAATAATTAATAATTAAAGCGTGTTCTCCTGCTGTTGCAATGGGCGACATTATGAACATTATGAGGCTCTCTCTGAAGCCCCTGCAGCACGAGTTCAATTCCCCGCCAGGGAGCTGACCCACATGGTGCACAGACCTCTCCTGACTGCCTGCTGCTCCCCTCAGCAGTGTATTTCAGTAGATGCCTGTTCTGCTCCCCACTGTCTCTGGAAAATTACCCTCTTAAAATATAATTCAGGCCAGCTCTTAAAGAAATCTGAAGTTCATCCCGGTCACCTCTAGAGGTTGCTATTCCTCTGTGAAAGTAGCCAATATGGCAGAGGTGAAGTGTTGGGCAGTTTCTATAAACAGCAAGCCCTGGAAGAACTACAAACTTTTCTTTGTTGTATTGTACAAAGGGTTCTTCCTAATACAAGCTCTTCTAGAAATTCTTCCTTGAGAAGGGAGATATGAGGTTTGCTCCAGATCCCCTCCATTTCTAATGACGTGCATAAGTTGGGAGAAAATTTGGTGAGGAAAAATTACCAGGCACTTTATATTATTCTGCATTTCTCAGAGTCAAAATCAAATTCAGCTGCATTGTGGAAATTTCTAATGTACTGTGTTATAACTGATTTTAAAATATAAAATTGAGTCTAACAACAAAATTTTGAAATAAAACTTCCCTGTAAGATAGTGTCAGTCTATCTGCAGATATTATTTTCATATCATCTATTTTCATCCTGTGTCTTACTGTGTTATCAGCACTAATGTGGCAAAGTAATACAGTTGAACAGATAGAAACAAATGGTGACCACGGAACGCATACATTGTCTGCACGCGTGATGGGGCTGAAGGCCAGAAACACCAGGCTGACCCAAGACTATTACACCATGAGTCAGAAATATGCTCTGCACTAACATAAAGAGCCATTTTTTAAAAATATAATATAATGAGTTATTTTAAAGAGCCATTTTAATTTAAATAAAGGTATTGACAACATTAAGGCATCCACGTTGGTAATAAAATATTGCTGAAACAGGTCACCCAAACAAGCGGAATACCAAAACAGGCTGTTCGAATGTTCATCGCTTAAGTCTCTGCAGAAATCAGCTCCCCAGAGATTTACTCTTCTATTGAACATGCTATTAATTAAATGGACAAGGGAAAGTGCATCCCTGCAGTGTAAAACATTTAGTATCACTTAATGTAATATTGATTTTCTTTAGATAGTATGTAACACAAAAAATGCTCTTGGGTATTCTTTAGTTACAGCATCCTTTACTTGGTTTTATTCCCTCAAAAACTAAAGTGATTATTACAGCCTGTCTATTATGGGAAATGGAGATCAGGATTAAAAATTAAATTATTCTCACTAGAGTATATTTATATTGCAAGAAGAGACTCATTTGTCTCGAGCAACTGAGAAGTTTTCAAATAAGATTCTCAAAATATCTAAGAGGAAACCATGTCCCATATTATACATTACACTCCATAGGAAGCTAATTACATGGTCGCATGTCTGTGGGGATGTGTTCTGAGATTTCCTATTAAAGCAGGCATTGTTTTCTTTCTAAATATATCCACAGAAGTAGAGGGAAATAAGAGCTGAATGACCCATTACCGAGAAGTATAAACATAAAAGAGACATAGGAAAAATGTAAATGCTGGTATCTTAGCACAGCAGATACCCAGGAAATAAAACAAACCTCAAATGTGTTCTTTTTTCATTGGCCTTAACTTTATAGAATCAGAAGACAGGAATAGATAGAGAGCTGATCCTTCTATCTATTCTGCCTCAAGATGCCATAAACTTACTGAGATTTTCAGTGTTTGACATAATCTTAAGGCCTTTTCTACAAGCAAAACAAATGTACTTCTTCGACTTAGGAATTCTGCTTTCCTAAAGTCCATTTCATTTTGTCACCTAGAATTTATCACTTGCAGAGGAAAAATTCATGCTGGCGCCTAGGACACTTTAGTTGGGCTCTAGATTTAGTATGCAGCACAGATTTACCAAACAACACAGAATTTACTCCTCCTTTGAGATGCGGTATGAAGTTCTTTATTTTCAAAGATCTTGGAATGTTCAAAAAAATTCAGATTTCCTCTTCATAATATACATGGCAAAAAAAATGAATACATAATTACAGAGGTAAAGATTCCAGAAATTTACTACCTGTTTCCACGTTTCCAGAGTTTCTAGTAAAATAAGGCAAAATAATCCACCTAAGAGGATGGAGTAAGATCTTGTGGTCAAAGTGTTGAGGAAGATTTTTAGTCTCCAAGAATCCTTATGGGTCCGTATGGATTCTCGGATGGGGAAAAGGGTGCCATTATGTTATTCGAGAATTTAACTGCCGCTCAGATATGTGTGAAATAAATATTAGAACCAGTCATTACAAAAACTTTTTTTAAGGAAGGAAGATAAAACACAGCATTTCCTTTCTTTGTATTTCTCATACTTCTGAAATATAAGAAACACTTATTTATGAAAATCATGTAATTTGAAAAAATATTTTGTTATTTATTTTTTTTAAAGATTTATTTATTTGTGAATACAGAAGTAGGGTACAGACCAACGGCTCAGGGGCGGTGAGAGGCTTCGCCAGAGACAAAGCGGGGAGCAGAACAGGCAGATTGACGAAGTACACTGCTGAGGGGAGCAGCGGGCGGGTCAGGAGAGGTCTGCCACACCATGTGGTCACCTCCAGGGCAGGCGGGAATCGAACTCAGGTGGAAGCGGCTTTAGATTCTCAGTGCTGTGCTTTAACCTGCTGCGCCACCAGGGAGGGCCATATTTTGTTATGTTTTATAAGCAAAAAGTCACTTTAGAATCTGAACATGAAAAATATAAATAAGAGACATAGTAGTCAAAATGAAAACGGTCTTATTATAGTTCTAAAATGCGTACCTTCTTCTCTAAGTGTTCACTGGTCAATTTTAAAATTGCAGGTTTAAAAAACTGACATTTTGGATGTTGAGAAAATAGCTCCTTTGATTCAAAAGTTAAAAATTAAAATGATAGGTGCAATTTTTTTCTAAGAAGTATTATAAAGTCCCCCCACCACACACACCCACACCCTCCCCGTGGCCAACAGGTTAAAGTGCAGCACTTCAAGGAGCCCCCCCCACCTCCCCACCCCCGCCAGGAGGTGACCCACATGGCGCAGCAGACCTCTCCTGACACTCCCACTGCTCCCCTCAGCAGTCACATTGGTCTACATGTTCTGCTCCCTGCTCTGTCTATGGTAAATCCTCTCACTGCCCCTGCACCTCTGATGTGTACCATAGCTGTCTGCATAAATAAATAAATCTTTAAGAAAGAAATATTATAAGTATTTACAGATGTTCAGGAAAATCTTCATATTTCCTCAATGAATACTTTGCACAAACATTTAAGTATTTTAGATAGGTCATCAATCCCACATTGCTCTTGGTGGAACAGCCAAATCAGAATTTTGTGTTTAATAAGCCAAAACCTGGAATGACATGAATTAAAGAAAATCACAATGCAGATAGAATAGAAGCATCAGTGGGGCAACTCCCACTTGTAGGAACTGACGAATGAATGAAGCTGCCACCACATCAAAATTAGCAGGAGACGGTGTTTGCAGCAAATTATGAAAGAATATTTGTTTGATCATTTAACTGAATTCCTACGCATATTTAAACAAGACCATCACTGAAATTCTGACTGGGTTCTAATATTGCATATTGCTCCTTTACTTTTCAATAACCAACTTGTAAGCTTCCTGTGACTGTTTTAATGTCATTAACCTCTGTAATCTTAGAGGAGAGGCAAAAGATATATAACACAGCAGTAATGCAGTACCCTGCTGTGAATAGAGGCCATGTACTATCTGTTTGATTGACTATGGACACTCAAAGCTCCTTACTCATCTGTAAACATGTGTACAAGGACACATGCATACTGCACAGCCCAAAGTAAGAAGAAAACCAACAGAGCGCTGTTCCAAATATACATTACTGCTGATCACAGCACCCGAAAATGCATTGGCTTGAAATAGTAATTTACTATCATCAGTCATTATTGTTCTGTGGGTTGCCTGTCCTTGGGTTGAAGTGAGATGACAGCTGCAGGTACAGTCATCATGATGCCACTCCAGGCTGGTTCCCCAAGATGAATCACTCAGGTGGCTGACTCTTTGTGGGGAGCAACTTCAAGTGGGGGAGAGCCTGCACAGGGCATATCCATGCTGCCTGGGCTTCTCAGTTCATGAGACTGTGCCCAAAGAGAGGGTCCTATCTGCTCCTAGATATTCAGGTTTCTTATGAACTAGCCTGGGAGCTTCAAGATATTATTTTTATTTATTGGCCTGATTTCCTAGATTCAGGAGAACAAAAGGGAACCCCATTTCTGATGGGGCAAGGCAAGACTATATTGCAGGATCATGTGAGACGGGAGATATAAGTGCAGTGGATTTTGCAGTGATGCACAAAGGCATTAGACAGTAGGAGCAGCACTGGCCAAGGGAGAGATGCTGTCAAATTTGGCAATGATTACTATTTATTCTCTTTGACTTTCAAATCCTACATGTTCTCTGCAGTGTTTCAATCAGTATACTAGAAGGTTCAAGTCAAAATCTAGGGTAGTATCATAATATCATATTTTTATTCCTAATTTAAGAATAACAAAGTGGCAAAATAGAAAAACAATATTTTGCTGGAATATGGTTTTATCCCTAAAACATTATAATATCCAAGCAAAATATATCAAATCCAAAAATAAAAATCACTTCTTTTTCTTTATCTCATTTTGATAAGGCATATTTCATCTACTAAATCAATCAAAATATAATAATAAATTACAAGGATCACCTACTTTTATCTAGTATTACACAAATTAATGGTTTCAAAGGATATTAAGAAAAAACAATTCCACCTGTCTAACATCTAAGAAAGAATAATGTTTCCAAAAAGTATCCACTAAAAACATTTCTTACTACTTTAATTCATATTGTACAGTTTTTAAGATTTTTTTGTTGTCAAAGTCTTGAGATAGATTAAAAATAAGCATATTGTAAAATTTTAGAATTTGAATTTAGAAGGGTAAGACTGACTGGGTAAACAGGGCCATGGAGTTGATACTGGCATCAAAGTCTTCAAGGAGGGAGGGTAGCCCACTATTGAAACTAAACTGTTAAATTTGAATTGTCGAACTGTTTAAACTGACAAAAAATAAACTCAAAATCACTGAAAAAAAAAAACACTCTTCTGTAGCTAAACAACAGAAACATCTGGTTCATGTGAATTTGAATACAAACAAACAGCAGTGTTACCTCAAAAAACAGTCTGGACTAAATAAAAAAAAATACACACATGCAATTCAGAATTAACTAGTTCTATCATTCAAAGACTCTTTATTTGTTGCTGATCAAACACTGTGCCTGGTATGCAAAATCTTTTAAAATTACTTTTAAAAGTCCAAAAAAATGTGTCTATGTGGTAGATAGTCATTGGAATAGCCAAATAAAAGGCTGGGAAAAACCACTCCATAGGGTGTGCCCCTTGCAACAGTGAGTGTATAGAACTGCCCAACCTAAGTTCAAGTTCTCTTGTGTGATCATTTCAGTAGCTCTTATTTTATTGTTCCCATAGAGCTTGAAATAGAAATGTTAGAATGAAAATTTAAAAGCTTCAACAGTTATAAGTGATGCATCTCACTAATTAATTAATAAACAATAACTTGTCATGCCCACATGAAAGGGAAATCAGTTAATGTGTGTTTAGTCTTTTATATTTGAATCTATCACTCATTTCTAAATAAAGTTATATAGTCTCATTCAATATGAGATTTTGTTATTCTCGATAAAAGAATTCTGATAAGCTACTGCCATATTTGCTTATTTTTGTACAAACAGTAAATGTACATTAAAACACATATATTCATTCATTCCCAGATACACAGATTGTATCTATGGAGAAACCATCACTAAAGGATGATACAGTCTGTCACCTCATGAAGTTTACATTCCAATCCAATAAACAGGAAGTGATAATACAGTGTGCGAACAACTGTGGTTAAATAACTACAATATACTATGGAAACATGAGAAATACCAATTATACTGACTCTGACAGCGTAGAGATTAGAGAGGGAAGAGTAGAGATTTTTCTGGCAGAATTTGATGAGGGTGGATGAACAGGATTCATCTAGGTGGAAAGGAACAAGAACAGTATCTCAGACAAAGGGGAAGAACAGGTACAAAAGCTCAGAAGATCAAAAGAGCAAGATAAGGAAAACAGTAAAAAAAAAAAAAGCTGTTTGGCTGGTTTGGGAGGAAGAGGAAAAAAGAACAGAGGCTATAAATAGCTTCAACTATTTTAATTGTTTTTGACATTTTCCAAAGCAGTAGAAATAATTGAGAGGTTTTGGTCAATAAACAAAATGCTCAGCCACTCCTCAATTTTAGAAAATTTCACTGGGGTCACAGAATGAAGACACTGGAGGACTCATGAGGAGAGGCAGGAAGATGATGGTAGATGCCTCCACAGAAGTGTACTGGCAATAGGAAAGTGACAGAATTCTGGAAAGTCCTCACTTAGAAAATAACTTGGAAGGATTTGGTGACTAAAATTAGAAGAGTGAAAGGAAGAAAAATCTTTAAAGTCTTCTTACAATAGGGCCTAAATTTATTTTAATCTTTTAGTTAAGATTTGAAGTTTATCCTAAAGTTTATCCTTATTAATTTAAGTAATCAAAAATGTCAATTTTTTTTACATGTAAAGGTCTTAAAACAATCTATGAAACTCAGTTGCTTTAAGTTTTATAATCACTTTTACAGAAACAAAACCCAATGGATTTCTTTTTAATTAGTCTAACCATATCACAAAAATCTACTTTCAAGAAAAGCAGTAGTTGAGTACATTCATTTTGCCATTAGATGTAATGCCAAACCCAGGAGAAAAACGAACTGTACAATATTGAAAACTTTACAGTAGTCTTTCTAGTTTCTTCATTGTTCACACTCACATGAAAAGAAAAAGAAAAATGTAACAATCTATGACTAACGCTTCCGATTGACTTTGAAGAAAAAGGACTTAGAGCTATTCAAAATAATGATGTCTAGTGGAAATACGAGCCTCTAAACAAGCCACAAGACTAATCCCAAATGCAATGTGAAACTTTCTGGTGGCATGCTAAAAAAGATCAAAAAGGAACATGTGACATCAATGTTCATAACATATCATATATAACCCCTCGATATATTCCAAATATTACCATTCCAACTTCTAATAGCTACAAAATACTGATGAGCAACTTTACATTGACTTTCTACTGTCTTTGACACCAGGTCACACCAGATCCATTTCACACCAGCACATTACATTTCAAGTACTAATGGCCGCTCTGGTTAACGGGTCTCTTGGACAGCACACGGCTTTAGAACACAGTTCTAGAACTTCTAGAAGGGAGTTGCCTACCACGCCATTCCAAGACTCGGATGTTTGGAAGGAATAAATGTAAATAAATAATAATAATAGAAACACCATGTTGAGTATTTGCTTTGAGGTAGACAGACTCACTGTGAACGTAAAATGGAGACAGAGAAACTGCAAGTCGAAACTTTGCGAGTAAAGTGTTAGGAGTCAACAAAAAAGTACTAAATCACCAAGTATATTCTCAAAACGCTAAACGTTCAACTACTTTCAAATATTAAACTCTCATATTTTACAAACAATAAGTTTGAAAATAAAACATGTACATACAACCAGGTAAAGCTTAATTTACCCTTCTCCTGACAGCGCCTTCAGCCCGGCGACAGCTTTTCTGACACCAGGAGTTGGTAAATCCACCACCGAGGGGGCAAAGCTAAAATGTCATTGTATAAAAAGCAGCCATTCTGATTAACATGAAAGTTCTTATTTGGGCTGTGAAATCAATAATGCAGACTGTCTGGACGGAGTTTACATTCCCTGGTGGCTGGGCTTTGCTTCCGGAGTGTCGCCCTGACATCATTTTCCAGCAAGATAACAGCAGTTTGCAGCCGCCAAGTGAACACAGTTCTAGAAGAGGGTCTCACACATGCCTGTGCTTGAAATAGGACAGTCATGCCAAAAATAGCCTCTCGTCTAATGTGTCATTTACCGAGAAAACCTTATCATTTTAACACGGATAGAAGACGGATACCTAGGCGGACATCGTTTATCTTTCTCTTTACCTGAAGCTGGCTTTGGAAGGGTTCTTATTTTCGTAATATGTAACTCAGAGCAATGGTTCTCAAACTTGTTTTGACAGCAGATGCCAGAAAGCCAGGGGCTTCCTGCTCCACAGCAAACTGGCGTTGCTGAAATGCTACTAACAGCCTGCACAAGCAGAGAAGAGCCGGCAAGCCGAAAGTCAGACCAGGCAGTGTTTCTACACATAGGCCAGTCACTAGCACATAGAATCATTTCCAAAAGGCAGGTGAACAGATTTTAAGAGGTCATATTCCAAGAACATTCATTTGCAACTAGCATAGTATTAATCAGCAATAGAAAGCAAAAGGAAAAATATAATGCTAAAGACCATCCAGTAACTATTGTTTCATAGGCATTAAGGAAAGTCACTGTAAATTCCGTCTCAGCAACAGGACACTCCCATTCAATTGAGATACGTGCGTTTTAATGTTTAAAAGCCAGAAACGCAAAACTTTCAACTGGCGGACATCAAATTGCTAACCTGTAGAAATTCTCTGACATTGGATCCCAGCACACGCAGGATTGTATCATAGCCAGATTCTTGACAAAAGACAAAAAACATCTTCCCAAACATCTGAAGGATTTCTCCAGCATTGAGATCTAGTTTGTAGGATTGAGAGAAAAACAATAAACACAAAAGTATAGTGTAAGTAGAAAATTGTCAATGAGAAGAATAAAGATAAATGTATGTAAAAGTATGTTAAATATTCTGTTATTGTTCAGAATGAATATAAATCACATGAAAAGCTTAATTACAATGTATTTTTTAAATTTAATTTAATATGATTAAACATAAGAAAATATTAACATGTTAACAGTATAAATTTGTACTTAAAAGAAATGTAATCAGTTTCTCTACTTTCATAACTACTTAATTTTGAATTTTTACAAACATAATTCATACATTACTTG